CGCGGGGGAGCGGCGGCCGGTGGCGGCGGCGGTGTTGGTGGTGTTGGTGACTGGGGCGCGGCCGGGGCGCCTCCCTCCGTCTCTATGATGAAGTTCAAGCCGAACCAGACGCGGACCTACGACCGGGAGGGTTTCAAGAAGCGGGCGGCCTGCCTGTGCTTCCGCAGCGAGCGCGAGGACGAGGTGAGCTAGCTGGGCCGGGGCGGCCGGCGGCCTCCGAGGAGAGCAGCGCTGGCTCCTCGATAGGGGTGGCAGCCGCCAGGCTTTGTGTGTGCGCCCTCGGTGCCAGCTTCGGGACACGGACCCGCCGCCTCCTGTGCACGGGGGGAGCGGGAGGAGCCGCTGGGTGGGAGCGGGCTCTTGCGCACAACGCGGGCGGCAGTAGAGGCTGTGGGGTTGTTCAGGCCTCTTCACCAAGGTCAATTGCCCCGTCCCTTATCTCGTCCCTCTTTGGCAGCGCCGCGGTGTATCCAAGCGCTGCTTCAAGCCTGCAGCCGGCATGTTTGTTCTGTAGTAAATGGCTGCGGAGTCGTTCAGCCGCCTAGGAACTGAAGACTGGGGTTTCTTGCCGTCTGGTTGCTGGTGGAGTGTAGGGTTATGATCCCACGTGGCAAATCTAACCAGCATTGTACTCCCAGGTGCCTTGCTAGAAGACAGCAAGAAATCCTAGGCTCAGCACTGATTCCAGAGCTCAGAAATGGCTTGAAGAGCACAAGATGGATTTCACACGTGCGTTTGATGCAGGCTGTGCTTTGCAGTGCAGAATTGCTGCCTTCTACTGTTTTTATAGCCCAGTGACTTCCTTTCTTACTATGGTCAGGAGAAGGGGGCTCTGACTTGTCAGTTTCTGCACCAGTTTCTTCTCTGGGCCCCAGCAGGATTTTGGGTGATCTCATGCTCTTCTTTACTGCTTTAGTATTTGGTTTCTCAATGTTTGAGTGCCTGTATTGTTGCTTGAAGTGATACTAGTCTTTGTCATCTTTATTTAGTCCAGCACTTGTTGTAGCTTTCTTGTTGCTGATAGATGAGTGTCTGTTCCAGAGCTGGTCTGTTGGGTGTCTTGGTGTTTCTGTCAACCAATCTGGAGCCCTTTTTTTCCCATTTCAAATACAGCATTAAGGAAATATACCAACTTGGCAGTATCAGTTACTTAAAACAAAGGATGAGATTTGCTTTGACTGCTCCTACATTTCATTTGACTGCTGCTTTGTTCAGGGGTGGCACTCTGCAGATGCACGTAAGAGTCTTCACTACTAAGGGTGGGTGGCATGTGGACCTCTGAGGGGAGCTCCTGTAAGTCTGGCATTTGCTACTTGGAAAAGGAGCACTAGAAGGTAAAGAGAATTGACTAGATTTGAGTTGTAACGCTGATCTGTACATCATCCGCATGGTTTCGGATCAGAAGCCTAATAGATCTGGCAGGGTTGCTTTGCTACTAAAAGTGCTGGGTACAGTCACCAGCAAAGCAAGACCTTAAGCTGCTAGTTCTACTGCATACTTGGAGCATGAAGTTGTAGATCTGAGCTCTTGCTCATAAGGGATAAGGAAGTTTCTATATAAGCCTCGGAGTCAGTGCCAATAAGGCCTGTAGCTAATAGGTATTGTTCCAACTCATGCAGCCTTGTGTTGAGATCTTTGTTCTCTCTCCCAGGTCTGACGTTTAAGTGGAAAGAAGAAATGGTGTTTCTGTCTGTGCATGTGTGGTAATCCTCCATGACTTCTCATTCTCTACTAAGCTGTAACCAGGCCTAGCATTCTGCCTTGCACCTACAGGTGTAGCTTCCCTTGCCACAGTGAATGTTTCTTATGTCAATTGGTGCTGTTGATAACACTGGACTTTTATACCAAGATATTTCACAGTAGCTGGCAAAACTATGCTCATGACACTCTTGGGCATTTGTTTTAGGTTACAAATATTTGTATTGTACACTAGGTAAATTTCTAGAATAAAAAAGTCCATATTAGCCTTTATAAATATTGCATATCCCTATCATCAGTGAATTAACTTGAGATATAAAAATTGAGTAACAAAGTCCTGGCTGTGCTTCCCAGATGCAGAATAAGTGGTATGAGTTTGCTGTTTTAATTGACTAGACTGTTCTGACTGCTTTAATTACTGGTGACAATTGGGGTGATTCAAGTTGTCCTTCAGATACAGATGAGTCTAAACAGTCTTCCAAAGGCAAATTGCTCCACTTTGGAGCAATAGGAGGCTACTGACTGCAGGGCATGATTTTACCTCTCTTTAACTTCTGTCCTCAGTTTCTGTAACCGATCTGGAGTTAATATTGGGCTGGGAACTACTATTGGTAGAGAACCTAGGGTATAGGACTGTAAGAGGTCTTCTGAATAAGTCAATCAGTTACATCATCCCTTTTAACAAAATGATCAAGCTCTGATATAAAACTAGTTAAGTTGCTTGACCACCTTGCTACACTTGTTTGTGAACCCTACAGCTCTGATGGGTAATCAACTTTATTTCCAGCCTAAACTTACTCATGGCCATTTTAATATGTATTTGCTCTGGTGCCAAGATTGCCTTTTGGTTATTTCCCCTCCTGGTGCTCACCATCCTCATCCCTATATGTAGACATCAACCAAATTGTCTCTCGGTGTTCATTTTACTAGACTAATCCAAACAAAGCACTTCTAGCGTTATCTCATAAGAGAGGTTGTCTGTTCTCCTGATCGTTCTAGTGGCATTTCTTATATCAAGATCACTAATGGAAAAACAGAGCAATCTTAAGACTCATTCTTGAGGGTTCTGGTAGTAGCTTCCCTCTAACCTGATAATTCCCCTTTTAACAGAATGTGATGTTGTAGTTCCTTAGATAGTTCTTACTCATTCTACAGATCTGGTAGTGGGTGGGGCAGGGCAGGGTGCCACCTTTATGAGAGATTGACTGGTTCAGAGAGGCATGAACTCAGTTGGATGCTATGAATGAACTTGCAGAAAGTAGAGGTTCTAAACCAGACAGAATTTAACTACAAAGCATAGCAGGAGGTGAAAGTGGGTTGAATACTGTAATAAGGATAAACGAATCAGTTTGCCCATTCACGGATATACCAGTTATAAAAGCTAGCCCGAGTGATGAGATAAGGATCTGTGGTCTCTGTTGTGACAGTCCAGTCTGAGGATAATCACTTGTTCTGCATAGCCACTGCAATTTTGTATCCAAGTCCATTTCTAAAGTTTCACTGGGTAAGAACATCTACACTGAGGTCAGTGACAGAATGTCCAGGGAAGTTAGTGTTCTGCCACAGGCATTTGTGTATTCCTGCAATTTCTGTGAGCAGTTGCTTTCAGTGCAATTTTAAGGCAGTGGTTATAAAAATGTTTGCTAAACTGCATTGGAACCTGGGCATTCAAGCAGAATTGTCTTGTGGAGTAGGGGAACATCTCTTCTGCCTGCAGTTCTGGGACTTCAGCAGGTAAGAAATTCAAGAACTAAGAAGTAAAGGAGGGGAGTACTGCTGTAGTCTGAGGCAGAAGATAACTTTAAGGGCAGCAAGAGGGAAGGGGACTAAATTATATTGTAGCTGTTTGAGTAATTAGTAGACACTCCATTTATTGGATAAAATGGTTGATTGAAATTGCACAAAAGTTAAGTATCTCTCTGTAAAATATTTTGGATGTGGAAAAAAGATCATCTTTTAATAAAATAGATTATCCTTAATAATGTTTAAATATTATAGCATTATTATTAGTAGGATGCAGAAAGCTTTATTTTTGGTTTGTTTTACTCAACAATTAATAATTTGTTTGATTTATATAAAGATCATGTAACTTTCAAACTTTTTGGAAAAATTAATGTCTAGAAGAATGCTGTGTGCTCCTTAGGTGTTCATTTTCCAGCTACTCTTTCTATGCCTATTATAGAATGGGACCATGGGGATCAGACAGAAAAAATAGAGGAGAGTATCAAGACTCTAATAGGAGCTAATTTCTAATAGGATTCTGTTAGGATATTTATAGGATGTACCAATTCTCTTTGTTGGTAGAGTCTCTGATCAGTTGACGAGGGTCATATATTTTTATAGGTGTTCAAAGGTAGACTTCTCAACTGGAAACTCTCACTCATGGAGGAGATGGGGGGAGCTGAGATCAAATCAGGCTGAAAACATTATTTAAATTTTTGATGACTTGGTCTTTGAGGCTGGTGTTTCAAATCTTGAGAACCCTTTCTCTCTTTCAACTTTCTAACATCATGTTTGCCTCAATAATCATTTTTTGGTTAGCATATCAAGGAAACATTGATTTAATCTTTTTTTCAGTCATGCCTCCTGAAATTTACTCTAGCAGTGGTTTTACTAAAAGATTTTCACTTAAATGTATTTAATTTTCTATTTCTTTTTTCAGCTTAATAGAAATCTAAACTGAGAAGGTAACACAGTGATCTAATCCAGCAATTTGCAAACTGCTCTGTAGTAAGGATTGTGCTGACCCCTCTTTAGTGGTCTGAGCAATTAAGAAAATTGACAGTAGTCCACTTATCCCAAAAAATTTGAGAATTCCTGATCTAGACAACATAAGTCGTAACAATAAGCAGTTGCTCCTGCACAGAGCTTATAACTGCAGGTTGCACTTGATTATAACACTGAGTCTTAACAAAGACTTTATGATTTTTAAAAATTCCATGCTTCTTAAATCAAAGTTTACTATTTGGTTTCTCTATGCCGTAGTCATATGCCTCTTAGCTCAATTATGATAAAGGGCTCAGTGACCAGTTCATCTTCCTTAGAAGCGCTCTTAAACTGATGGACACATTTTTCTCCATGCAGACTACTCCTTTGAACTGTTCAGTTATCATGTTAACAAAACTGCAGTTGTTCACATGGATCATCTAGCCTCAGCAGAGAGTCTGTAAGGGTAGTAGCTTTAGAATTAATTTCTTACGCTTTAGTCAGTCTTCAGACTTCCTGTATGTTCAGTATTGGCTCAGTTCTTGGCCTAGCACAGTTCATAAGTTGTAAGGTATGGTTTCCCAAGTTTGCCTGCAAAAATACGACTTTGGCTTGCTCCTTAAGTGCTAACCTCTTGGCTGCTAATTCAAATGACTATATGCATATAGTTAAATGCCTTCATCAACTTGATTAAAACCAGTTTTGTTCAATGCCGTCATCAGCAACCTGGAAGATGGCATAGTGTACCCTCAGCAAGTTTGCAGATGACACCAGCCTGTGGGGAGTAGTAGATATGCTGGAAGATAGGGTTAGGTTTCAGAGTGACCTAGACAAAGTTGAGAATTGGGCCAAAAGGAATCTCATGAGGTTCAACAAGGACAAGTGCTAAGTCCTGCACTTAGAATGGAACAATCCCATGCACAGGCTGGGGGTTGACTGGCTGGGCAACAGCTCTGCAGAAAAGGACCTGAGGGTTACAGTGGACAGTAAGTTGAGTCAAAAGTGTGCCCTTGTTGCAAAGAAGCCTAACAGCATAGTAGGCTGCATTGGTAGGTGTGTTGCCAGGAGGTCAAGGGAAGTAACTGTGTTCCCCTCTATTCTGCACTGGTGAGGCCACATCATGAGTACTGTGTTCAGTTTTGGGGCCCCCACTACAGAAAGGATGTGGACAAATTGGAGAGGGTTCAGTGGAGGGCTAGAAAAATGGTGAGGGGGTTGGGGGACATGACTTATGAAAGACTGAGGGAACTGGGATTATTTAGTCTAGAGAAGAAGAGACTAAGAGGGGAACCATCAAGTAGTTAAGCGATTTAACTACTTGAAGGGGGCTTCAAAAGAAGGTGGAGCTAGACCTGTTCTCGGTGGTGGCAGATGACAGAACAAGGAGCAATGGTCTCAAGTTGCAACAAGAGAAGTTTAGGTTAGATATAGGGAAAATTTTCTCACTAGGAGGGTAGTAAAACACTGGAACAGGTTACCCAGCGATGTGGTGGAACCTCCATCCTTGGAGGTTTTCAAAACCTGGTTAGACAAAGCTCTGGCTGATTATCTAGTTGGGTACAGTCCTGCTTTGAGTGGGGGTTTGGACTAGATGACCTCCTGAGACCCCTTCCAACCCTAACATTCTATGATTCTGTGATGATCATCTTTGGTACTGACACATTAATAACATTCCCATACATATGACAATGTTAGTTTGTAAATTGTGCCCTCTGCATACGAGTAGAGGTAGTTAGCAATGTTGGATGTAAACATTTAGTTTGTTTCCTGTGAAAGATGCTAGCTGGTCTCCAAGGTGCTACCCTGCCCCATCTGGTACATACAGTGTTCAACCCTGAACGGGCAAGCCTTCCAAACCAGAAATATAAAGATATTAGCATCTAGCTTATGTTTAACATAAGGCATAAACACTTTATGATGCTTTTAAAAAAAATTAAAATGTGCATTTTCCCTCTAAGCAGCTGACATGCACAGATAGCATGTGCTCATATCCCCAGTATATTAACTGTGGTCCATTTTGATTTTATTTTAATTTTGTCCAGTATAAAATAAATGAACTTCTGGATGGTGGTTCCTCATTCAGCCTCCAATATTTTTCTTGCTGCCTGCATGCCTGCACACATGCTACCTAGGCCTTGTCTAAATGAAGAAAATGATAGCTAGTTGTAGGGTGTAAATGAGCCAATTAATGCATTCTTTCAAGAGGGCCTGGTCTTATGCTACCTTGTTTTAAGAAGTCTAGTCACTTTAAAAAACACTGAAGGTTTTTAGTCCTTTTTCTAAAAGTACCAGTTTCCCATGATCATTGTAAGGCCTATGTGGCTATGAGAACCACTCAAGGGATTATGTTGGCCCTTCCACATCTAGATATACCATCACATTGTTTTATGTGCATTTCAAAATTCAGTTGAAAGACTATAGTGCAAGTTTTGATTAAATTTGCATTTTGGACAGTATTCACTGTAATAATCGGTACTGACCATTCAGCATGCTTCTTTTTGAGGTAACTTCTACAGGAAAAAAGTTTGCCTCTTCTTAAAGATTAAGGGAGGGTGAAAAGGTCTTAGACTCCTCTGTTTTACTTTTTACAATAGGGTGAAAAGAGTTGTTTTTTTTTTTAATCAGGTTTTTTGAATTCTCTTAAGGCTATTAAGTGAATGTGTTACCATCCCCTACCCCTGTACATGTGGATAACTGCATCTCAACTCTTAAAGATTTACTCTAGCACTATGCAAACTAATAAAATGAAAGATATAACTGGTAAGCTTAATGCAATTTTTTTCTAGCCTCGTTGCAGTTAGGAATGTAAAGAGATATTCTAGGTAACTAAACTACATAGTATATCACCTCTCAAGCTTCTTTTTCCTCATAGGAGGTACAAAAGCATTTTTGTTGCCTTACAAGGCAGTCATCTAAATTCAATTGGCATCAGAAGTGATAGCTTAATTACTACACCTAATCCGTGCTGTTTTTAATACTTTTTCTAATTTCTTCAGTTTTCCTGTAAGGAGGAGAAAAGATCTCCATGGAAAACTGATTGATTTGAATATCTAATAGGATTCAAATGTGAAGGAAAGAGCAGTTTCTTCATTATATCGTCCTTGCAACAATCTCACTGTTATAGATATCTTAGATGTTTTTTGTGTTTCTTTTAGATTTCAGCTTCCTGGAATCAAAAAATGAGATGGTGCTCTTGCATGAGGGAAGCACCATGTAATTTATAGGAAAGCTAGAAAGCAATCTGCAAATTGCAGAAATGAGATGGTGATACTTAAAATAGTATTAACATCTTTGATCCGATTTACCCAGAGAAGCAGACTGAACATTGCTCCTTGGTCTCAGACGACTGACTAAGATCGAAAAATCTGCTCCTTGAAAACACAAAATTTAGGGAACAAAAATCCCTCTCTAACTACT